GTGCAATAGACTGTTATGGATTTGATTGAACTGACTGCATATTGTTTTTCCAGCACCGTGCATTGCCTTTGATTTCAGTTGTAGGTATTAGCTGACCTGCTGCTGCCTTTTTGAAGTCTCATTATATAGTGGTTTAATATTTTCAGTCAGATGGCGCAAGGAGCAGGATGATTGCAGGGCTAGTGATCAGAATCTTTCGAGGTTTTATTCTTTTTGATGGATAGCGATTTCTTTGTTACTCATGGATCATGGGATAGATTTCAGGTTTCATAGTGTAGCTTTCCTGAGTATTGATATGATCTTTGAGGTATGAATCACTTGCTAATGATGTTTTAAATGTTCATATATTTTTATTAGACTTTTGATTTGAAGTTATAGATAGCCTATTGATTAATTGGTATTTAATGAATTATTGAAATTCTGTCAAGTAGATACTGTGCGCGTCACAAGCCGCCACCCCATAAAAAAGTAGATTCCTTTAGCAGCGCGTTTCGAAAATTAAACAACGCTAACTCGTAAAATTTACGGCGTATTAAAATTATGCTAATTAACGTAGCAAATTGTGCCAGTACAAATGTGCATTCTAGTACTGTTTTTAACTGCCACCCGCTCTATACTATAAGTTCTTACCATGCATGTCGCATTTAAACCGCTACACTTTGTAGTCGTTGTTTTCATCCTCAGCCGATTCCTAAAAATTATTCCTTACCTATCTACAAATGCAGAAAAACATTAATCTTAAAAATACACACGCCAGCACTTGGTTAAGTTTCAGTGAAATTTTTTTTTTTTTTTTGAGTCATTATATTTTGATTTTTTTATTAAAATAAATTTCAAAATATTAAATTTATTTTGTTATGCTTATAATTTATATTCTAATTAATTATTGATATGTTTTATTTATTTTAAAATAAATTTAATGCCTAGAAGTTTATCTGACTCAAAATTCTTCTACTGTAATTTCTGTCCCTTTATAAAGAAAAAAAAAACCAGAGGTCCAAATCTCATGAATAAAAAATACTTAGTGACGCGTTTTCAACTTGTTTATCTATAATTAATTAAATGCTTAAGAGAATAAAATGGATGCTTTGGAAAACAAGCACAGCCATACCCATATTCTTGCCAATTGTGTTCGGACTTGGGACAATTAAAAAATTAATAAGCTTAGCAGTTGGCTTATATTTTTTCAGGGCCCACACATTAATCCAGGATTTAAAAAAAAAGGAGTTTAGGGCGTAATAATGTATTTCTGTTTGGAAAATATATATGCCATTTGAAAATTCATAATTTTTTTTTTTTTTTGAAAAAGTTTATTTATAATTATTTTGAAGATAATTTTAAAATTGAAGATATTTGCCTCTATAAACTTTTTATTTTTACATAAAATGCTAAACCAAAGAAAGATAATAATAATTTTGAAGAAGATATAATAAATTTGAATTTTTTATATAAATTATGATGATAACTGAATTATTTTAGAAATATATAATTAGAGTTATGTGTCATGTTTTTTTTTTTTTTTTTTTTTTTTTTTTTTTTTTTTTTTTAATTGGGAATCCACCTGCTGTTATCTCAGCTTGTGAGGTGCTTGGAGGTGTGCCTAATTCTCAATTGACCTAGAATCGAACGCTGGTTGTGGGGTATCCAACTGCACTTACCCACCAACTAAGCTAAGCAACTGTGGGTGTGTCGTGATTTTAAGGAGATCATAATAGGAAATACATTATGATTTAAAGGCTTGATAAAAATGATCATCTTCAAAGAACTTTCCAAAACAATTTAAGAGGAAATTTGGATAAGGCTAAGTTAGCCCTAGATGATCTTGATTGATTTACTATATTGTCTAAGAAAAAAAGAAAAAACTTGGAAATTTTTCTTTGACCAAATTACCTCATACTATCAAAGAATCACATCAACCTATGAATGATTGTATAGGCAATTGATGATAGTAGGGTAGGGATCATATTCAAGTAGGCAAGTAAGAGGGTGATTTTGTCTCCTAATGGGATCTTAAATCTCCACTATCAATCTATATTACTCCTTTGATGATGTTTCTCTTTAGTTTCCTTTCTCCATTTTGATGGCCAAAGAAAGTGATGTTTTATCTTTCTTTCTTAAAATATTCTCCCACAATTATCTTTTCCATACTCTTAGTAGCAATACTAAGCATTTTATCGTCAAAAAAAAAAAAAAACTAAACATTTTATCTGTCTAAGGCAACTATGTCGCACTCATTAAAGTTTCATCATTTTTTTTTTTTTTGATGAAAAACACTAAAATTATACACCACTGCACACATGTCTGGCCAGTATAGATTGGCATATTGATTTTTGAAAATTATATCACATGTTATGATTGATATATAGGTCTTGAAAGAAAAGTCTCTTTAAGAAGTTTTAACCTTATGTCAATGATATTTCAACTCAAAAACATAGATTTCAATAAACCTAATTAAGCATTCAAGGCATTATTCAATGCACCATCATAACTATGGGACTGTTTATTGATGGAAGATCAAGCACTCCCAAGTCCAATGCAATTTATCATTATTGTGTCATAACCATATATAATTCATTTATTAAGCCTCATTAATGAAAGTTTGAACCTTTAAAATTTGATATTATCCAATAAACCCAATGTTTATAAATATATGTCGGATTTGAGCCAGATTTATGTCGGAATTGAGCTAGATTTATGCTAAATTCTGCCAAACATTATTTAATTATGAGACCGTACAACGAAATAAATCTATTGTTTGATCCTTTTTGAGGTAAATCTTGGATTTATTAAATCCTACAATTCGGTAGATTTAACATTCCACGATGCGCGGGACAGTGGGAGAGCGATCAAAAGAGTTGGCTTCGAGCGTCAAGTAGTTTGTCACGCCTTAAATCAAGATTATACTACCGAACAGCTCCACATGATTTAACATTTATATTGCCAAACAATTTTCAGGATTTAACTTTAACAGGATTTACAAAATCCAGATTTACAGGATTTATTAAATCCAGATTTACGGGATTTATTAAATCCTATTCAAGTTAAATCATACTTGTTGCCAAACAACCTCTATTTGTGTCTTTTTCTCTCTCTCTAAAATCTAAATCAAGATTTTGAAAATTGGTTCGAAAACTAAATCGGAAGAATGAGAGATTCAAAATTTACAAATGGGAGGTATTTGAAAGTGCTCTCCAAACTAAAGTTCTTGCCTTACCTGCTCTTGCAGTTCCCCCTCCATCTCTACTTCTGACGTGCAAACTTTTTTTCCCTGCGTGAACAGAGCCTTCAATAGAATTGACAATTCATCAAATAAACTATTTCATTTTGATTAGTTTAATTTTTCTCAATATAAGAAGTGCTTGAACAAAAATTAATAGCTGGGAGGTTGTTGGGTCATAAAATACAGAATTCCAGCTTCTTGTGTGTTATAGCTGGTTAACAGAAGAAATGAATTTATATGAATGAGTCTTCAGCTTCATTTGGAACTCTTTTTTTTTTTTTTTTTTAAACTAAATTTTAGTACACAAATTTCTTGAACTAGAAATTTTTGTACTAGAAAACTGCTTTAAAAAGTTATAAAAAAGTTGTCCCAAACAAAGCTTTCATTTGCAGAAAGCAGATTTTTAGTACAAAATTTTCTTAAAATCAATAAAAAAACAATATTAAAAAAATATTGAAGTAAAATAATAAGAAAGTTGTCACAAACGAAATCTAAGAGAGCAGAACTCGAGAAGCTTGACTATCTAATTACCATCTCTTTTTTAAAGCTTGGCACCAACTCAATATGGTTTCGTTTGGGATGACTTTCTTATTGTTTCTTAAAGTAATTTTATTAATATAAAAATTTCAATTTTTATACTATAAATTTTCTTTAAGAAGCAATAATAAAGTCGTCCCAAACTAAGTCGTAAAACACCTACTTTTTTGTGCTTTGCTTTGACATTCACATAATTTTTTGAAAACTTCTGTCAATATTTGTAACTAATCACAGTTGAATTTATATGATACTTTTTTATGATTAAAATGCCGTGAAATTTATCAATGAATTTATATGATACTTTCAAGGAACCATAGTTTTTTTGTTAGGTAGGATATATATGTGAAGGGACAGCTATTTTAATGCAGATATTTTATTGTATAGAAATTCAACCTATTTTTATAAATATATAAGAGCAAAAGTAAAAATAGGCTCTGGCCTATAATTTTTAATATTTAAATATTTGAATAAATTAAAAAAAATCATTTAGTGAATTTTTTATGTTTTCCTATAATTTTTAATTATATTTTTAATATTTTATTTCATGTCAATATTGACACCAACTTGGACAGGAAATGGGAAATATTTTCAAAAAATAATAATGAAATAACAAATGGAGAAAATAAATAGGCTTTTTTATAAGGATTGGAATTAAGTGAATCATTTACTATATGAGATTTTGGCTTACAGCTAAAAATATTTCAATAATGCTTAGCCTGTAATTTCAATAATGCAGCTTTTAAGTATAAAAATTTTTATATTTTAAAAATTATTTTAGAAAACAGTAAGGAAGTTATTCTAAATAAAATCTTACTTAGTATTTCTTCATAAAATAAAAAATTTACATTCAAAATAATAATAAAATTTTTATTTTTCTAAATAAAAATAAAATATTAAAAATAAGTGAAAATATTTCATGTTTTCATAAAATCGTGAAATATTTTTTTAATTATATGCTTAGTATATATATATTTATTTATATTTATATTTTTGCCTTATATCCCATTAATGAGTTAGTTGGGAGCTACCGATATAAAAGCCTTGATCAAAGCACTGCATAAAAGAAAAGTTAGGGCCCCACGCAGTACAACTACTCCCCGCAACAACAAATAATCCATTATGACTTGCTAAAAAATCAACCTGGCTTCTAGCCTTTGGATCAATTCAAATGATCAGATTTGTTGCGATGAAAATATAAATTTTTATTTTTTATCTGCCCTTCATTTTCTGCAGCCGGCATCATAATTAAAAAAAAAAAAATCTTAGCACTGAGAGCCAATTGGTGAGATGTCTATTTTGACTTGTAGATGAAGATGAAGCCCTTTGAGAAGAATCCAGGAGGGAGACTGAGTTCTAATTTTTCCTAAGATACAGGAAAAAAAAACATTTCAGTAGTCATCTTTTGGTAGTCTCCTTTTCATGATTCAATACTGGATCGAGGAAGCTGGTGATGGATGACAATTTATAGCTCTTGTTTAGTTTACTCTAAACCCTAAACAATAAAATCTGGTTCTAGTAGTCAGGAAGGCAGGATTCACCATCGGAAAGGGTTACAGATGATCTCCAGGTTCTTTCTGCTGTTTGTTGTATTTGCTGCTGGCCTTCAGGTTGCTCCTGGAGATACTAATCCTCAAGATGGTAACTCTCTTGCTTCTGTATATCCTTTGATTTTGGTTTTAGATAATCTCCTTTTTAGTTGAAATGAAAAGTATGCGTTCTGTATTTTGATGATACAGCGAATGCAGTCATGGTTTTTAAGCGAAGGATCATTACTCTCTTTCCTTTCTTGGCAAGAGAGCTTGGCTTATGCGATTTTTGTATTTTGTTAACTCGTCGAAATCATAGGGATTTATAAAGCTATTTAGAAACAAAAAGTTCCATAAATTCATCGCCTCTGATACAAACTTATCAATCTTATTGTTTAAAACTGACGAGCGCTTGTGCAGCTGCGGCTCTTAGATCTCTGATGAGTCAATGGCAGAACACACCGCCGAGCTGGGGAACTAATGATCCCTGCAGTACACCATGGGAAGGAATTTCGTGCAGTAACTCCAGGGTAACCATTCTGTAAGTCTACCACCTCCATTTGTTGATAGTAACTTTTCATCATTCTCTTCTGAGGCTTTCATTTTCTTCAGGACCCTTAACACGATGGGAATCAAGGGTACATTAAGTAGTGATATATCCCAGCTAACCCAGCTTCAATCATTGTAAGTACTTCTCCCAGCACCAAAGAATTCGATTGCGTTTCGAACTGCAATTATGTTTGACAATTAACTGCAAAATTTATATACTCCAATACTTCGAATATTAACAGCAGGATTTTGCAGGGATTTGTCTTTAAACAGTAAACTCGGTGGCCCAGTTCCTCCGAACATTGGAAATCTCAAGCAGCTCACCACCCTGTGAGCAGAAATCTTGTTGATTAGTACTATTGTTCATCATTTTTTCTCTCAAACAGCTTCACAGAATACCATAGGATTAACTAGAGTTCATTTACAGGATCTTGGCTGGTTGCAGTTTCACCGGTAACATTCCACAAGAGCTTGGCAACTTGGAAAATCTGTATTTCTTGTAAGAATCGTCCTAGACTTATTTCCTCTATGTTGATCTTTTGTTGAAGAATTAGAATGGAACATGATATCTGAATTCTATTTGTTTGTCACTACAAGGGCTCTCAACTCAAACAATTTCACGGGAAGGATACCGGCCTCATTGGGGCAGCTCTCCAATTTATACTGGTTCGACCTGGGAGACAACCAGCTAACTGGAGTTATTCCAGTCTCCTCAAACACCTCCCCTGGGTTGGATCTGCTTGTCAACACAAAGCATTTGTTTGTGCTTCTCTCCCTGTTTTTATCAACCATTCAACAGCCATTGATTATGCTTTCATACAAATAATTGTCTTCAATGCAATTGACAGCCATTTCAACAAAAACCAGTTATCAGGTGGGATACCGGAAAGTCTCTTCAGTTCCAAGATGACACTTATACATTTGTAAGTTGTTCTATCATTTTGTAAATTCATCATTCTCTCGAGTTCAACATTCCAAGATCTTTTTTAAGAATCAACATACACTGGGTGTTTGCAGACTCTTTGATTCAAATAAATTTACAGGACAGATTCCAGAATCAATAGGGCTAGTAACATCACTTGAGGTTCTGTGAGTATAATAGTCTGGTACCCATGCTATTCATATCTCCTTCATATTATATCATAGTAGAAAAAATTGACCAACTACACTTTCGGTGCAGCCGACTTGACAGGAATTCTCTAGGTGGTACAGTTCCTTCTAATTTAACCAACCTTGTAAAACTGAACGAGCTGTAAGTAAAAAATTTGGCAATTACAGAATATAGGTCATAGATAACCCAGGCATGGACTGCAAACTTAAATGAATTTCATTGTATAATACATATTTTCAGGAGTTTGGCAAATAATCAACTAATTGGCCCAATTCCTGATCTGACTGGGATGAGCCTTCTGAACTATGTGTAAGGACTTGTTCAGATTCAACTAGACGTTCAAAATCTACTTTTATCACTGTGTAGTGTTTTCTTAGTAACTGGCATGCTGCAAAATGTTTGGTAGGGATCTGAGCAACAATTCTTTTGATTCTAATCAAGCTCCAAACTGGTTCTCAACACTTGAATCCCTAACAACTTTGTGAGTTCCTTATTGCACTTCAGATTTTGTTCATGGTAAGGTTCACTGGACATCTAATGATATCCATTGATTTGGGCACACAGGGTGCTGGAATCTGGAGGGCTCAATGGGAATATTCCAACACAAATGTTCAGCTTTCCCCAAATACAGCAAGTGTAAGTAATCCTAATTTGTTTTTCTTGTACAAAGATACTTATCCTCTCATAAAATTAAGCATGGAAACCCTTATTTGGCAGGTTACTAAGTAACAATGCATTCAATGGTACCTTAGATTTGGGTAAAACCAGCTCAGGTTTACAGCTTGTCGATTTCAAAAACAATGCCATCTCTGGGTTCAAATCATCACCACGCTACAATGAAAACCTAATGTGAGTTTCCAAACTCAACCATTTTTTTTTTGTTGAATAGTGTCATTTAATCATATTGAACGACGCATAAATGCTACCTGTTTTCAGACTATATGGGAATCCAGTGTGCACTACGCAACTATTAAACTCCATTTACTGCAGCCTTCAACAAGAGCTGCAACAGCCTTATTCCACTGGCCTAGGCCAGTGTAATTCTACTTCATGTCCCTTTGATCAAAGCGTTAACCCTCAGAGTTGTAACTGCGCCTACCCATATGAGGGTTTGTTAATATTCAGAGCACCTTTCTTTCGAGATTTGTCAAACAGCTCAAGATTCCAAGAACTAGAAAGCAATCTTTGGACTCAGCTAAAGCTTGCTCCTCATTCAGTATCTCTCTCAAATCCCTTCTTTAATAGTGATAACTATCTACAAGTGGAGTTAAAATTGTTTCCACCTTCTGGAATGTACTTCACCCGGTTGGATGTTCTGAAAATTGGGTTTGCTCTGAGCAACCAGACGTTGGACATTCCGAGCATATTTGGACCATACTCTTTCATTGGCTCTCCTTACCCTTTTCCATCAGGTGGAGTATCTACTCAATAAATTTAAACCAAGAAGATTTGATAACCCATGAGTAAATCACTTTGGAATATTTCAGGCAGTAATAGTGGAGGAAGCTCAATGAGTACGGGAGTAATTGCTGGAATTGCAATTGGTTGTGTCATTCTACTTGTTGTTCTTGTCATTGTCGGTATCTATGCCTTCAGACAAAAGAAGAGAGCTCAGAGAGCCGTAGAACAAAACAAGCCTTTTGGTAAGCTCCAAATATAGCAAAATTCATAGAGATGCTTATTTTTAAGACTTCTCCAGTATGGGAAGCTAGAAATATTATTGAGTTTATATAGAACTAAATTATTTTGTAGTCCTCTAGATCAAATTTTTCGTTCCTTGGCAAATCAAAACAAGCATGCTTCTAATATTTTTCATTTTTATTCATCTATCTTTATTATTTTTAAGCTTCATGGATATCCAAGGGTAAAGAAAGTGACGGTGCACCGCAACTAAAAGGAGCAAGATTGTTTTCCTATGACGAGCTCAGAAAGAGCACTAACAATTTTGCAGAAACTAATGAAATCGGATGCGGAGGCTATGGCAAGGTGATTCCCTATTGTATCCAATAAAGTTTCAGTTAGTGAAAAAATATAATGAAAATAACTAATCAATTCAGTTTCCACCTATGGAAGGTTTACAAGGGATTTCTTTCAAGTGGAGAACTGGTAGCAATCAAAAGAGCACAGCAAGGATCCATGCAGGGAGGCCATGAATTTAAGACTGAGATTGAATTACTTTCAAGGGTTCATCACAAAAACCTCGTAGGTCTTGTAGGTTTTTGCTTCGAGCAAGGAGAGCAAATGCTGGTATACGAGTACATCCCAAATGGAACGCTCAGAGAAAGCTTAATCGGTCTGATACTCAGAACACATATCAATTGGCTCGGCCTTCACTTAAAATTAACCATATGAAAAAAACTATTTTCTGCAGGAAAAGATGGCATACAACTTGACTGGCCCAGAAGACTTAAAGTTGCTCTAGGCTCAGCAAGAGGATTAGCATATCTTCACGAACTAGCCAACCCACCAATAATCCACAGAGATGTCAAATCCACCAATATCCTTTTGGATGAGAATTTGATCGCCAAGGTTGCAGATTTTGGTCTGTCAAAGCTTGTATCAGACAGCCAAAAAGGCCATATTTCCACCCAAGTCAAGGGAACACTGGTAGGTTCCTTACAAATCTTACAAAGCTTCTTGCATCTTTATTTCAGCTAAAAATTGCAACTTCTACAGGGCTATTTAGATCCAGAATATTATATGACTCAACAGTTGACAGAAAAGAGTGATGTGTACAGTTTTGGAGTGGTAATGTTGGAATTGATAATGGCCAAGCAACCAATAGAGAAGGGGAAGTATATTGTTAGGGAGGTGAGAATGGCTTTAAATGATAAGGATGAAGAGTACTACGGTCTGAGGGAGATGATGGACCCTGCATTACGTAGCACAGAAAATCTAATAGGATTCAGGAGGTTTGTAGAGCTGGCCATGCTGTGTGTTGAAGAATCAGCTTCACAACGTCCAACAATGAATGAATTGGTTAAGGAATTTGAGACTATGTTACACAATGCGGGACTGAACTCAAATTCGAATTCAACGCCTTCTTCAGCGACAGACTTTGGGAACACAAAGAATGCTCATCATCCTTACAATGAGCCACTGCCAAGGAAGGACTTCCATAGTGATTCCTTTGAATATACTGGTGGTTTCCAATTTGCCTCAAAAATTGAACCGAAATAGAAATGCCTTTTTTTTTTTTTTTGTTGAATACATTTGTTAGGTAAATATTCTTGATAAGGTGTGTTCTTAGTGTAAGGTAGGTAACTGTATGTGATTTTATCACAAGTAAATGAAGGATTGTAGTTTTATATAGCAATCAAAGGTTGAAGTTGGCTGATAAAAGAGGAGAAGAAGGTGGGGAAAATCAGGTATTTTAAGTGCTCATTGGTTTGGAAGTGAAGGATACAATTAGCAAGAACAGAGAAGTGAGTTGTTCTGGATGAGTGCTGGTAAGCCATAATAAATACCAAGTGATGTGCCAATAGAGTCTTCTTATTGATAGCAACATGAAGGATTCAATGTTTTTTTTTTTTTTTTACTTCTTTCCAGGCTAACAATGCCTTTCAATTGTTTAATGTAGTATTTGGGTTTTTTTTTTTTTGGAAAGGATTACTGAACTTGTTTTATTAAATATACATTTCCATTAGCTTGATTAAGAAAAAAAAAATTTAAGAATGAACCTGAGGTGATATAAACATGTACAAATGTTGTGTCCTGGAATATTTGAGGTGGTAGATAATTATAAAGGTTAGTGTCCTAGTTTTGTATGAAGATCCAACATACAGACATATAGAATAGAGAGATGCAGCGTTCATAAGAGACATAATGATTTTTACGTGAAAAATCCTGAAAAGGGGGAAGACCACAGGATATGGCTCAATTTGAATGAATCCACTAGTATTGATGGTTGATTATAAATATTACACCTCATTGAAGGAGGGTGCTGGCCCAATGTAATAAATACACATTATATAGAGCACATTCTATAGTTGAAGAACAATATGACAATTGTTTTTAAGGGAGCATTGGCATGTTTGTTTGATCAGTAGAATTGTAATTAGCAGGCGTTGATGGTCAAAAGAATCGTAGTTGACAGGCAACGGTGGTCAAATGGGATTATATTTGGCTGACGAAGGTGGCCAGAGTGGTTGTAGTAGGTAGATGACGGTGGTCGTAGGGATCGTAATCGGTGGTCGATTGTGGTCGAAGCGATCGTAATCGCTTGACGTTGATCGGAGTGGTCGTAGTATGTTTTGGTCTTTTGATTTGAACTCGTTTTGGCTCAGATCAGAATGAATTTGGTGTCTTTGGGTTTGTCTCCTTGAGATGTTTAATTTGACTATAAGTTTTCTTAAATCTGAGTTTGGATTATCTCGAATTTAATTTTAGAAGTTTTTCGATTCGTATTTGCATCAAGATTGGCGGGCGACGGTGGTCATAGGGACCATAGTCCGCGGGGCAACAATGGTCAGAGGGACCTTAGGTCTGTAGTTGGCGAGAACTCCAACGATGGTTGTGCTAGATGGACGGAGCAAGAGAGCTCTCGAGTTCTCCTTTTTTCCTTCCCCTTCATGTGAAGAATGAGAAGTTATTTGTAGTTTTTTGGGAGTAGCATGACTAGTTAATATGGAGAAGTTCAAGGGTAGGTTGGGAGTGTTCTGTTAGATGGCTAGTATTAGTTTTCTTGATCATAGAGCATTTATCAAACATTTAGGCTCGTTGGATTCGTCTAGTCGAACTTCTTGATTTAATTATAAGCATATCATATTTGGATATCATTTGGTCCTTCAATTGATGCTTTGAAGCTTTCAAGTATATTTTGATCCTTCAATTTGAGCTCATTTGGGTTCAGATAAATATGAATTTGATATGTTTGGGTTTGTCTCCTTGAATTTGACTATAAGTTTTCTAAAATCGGAATTTGTATGATTTCGAATTTAATTTTGAAAAAATTTTCTATTCATATTTGTATCGAGTTCGTGCATGATCAAGATAATTTTTAGATGATATATCAACAACAAATGACGAAATTACAACTATTAAGCTATTATATTAGAGGATTAAAAAGAAATAATATAGATTTAAAGTAACATTGACAGAAGTTATTCAAAATAACTTCTAAAGAATATATTTAATATCTCAATCATTAAATGAAAATTCAATACAGAATAAAAATAAATCATTTAAACTCGAGTTTTTTTAAAGATTTTCAAATCGTTATCATTTAAATTTAGTGGCACCTAAACAAAGATTCTGTGTATAAAAAAAATATCAAAATTCAATACATTTTTATTATTCTCTTAAAAATTTTTGAAGGTTCATAAAGTTGCGCAGATGTTAATTAAGACTTGGTCTATTTATTAAAGGGTTTTTCCATCTTAATAATAATGATTTTGATTCATATTCAGCTTTTTCCTTTTTTTCTTTTTTTCATTAGAGGGAGATAGACATTTAGGAGGTCTGTACACTATGAATTAGACAGTAAATTTTGTTAAAATCCTCATAAGAGAATTCTAAAGTACCCACATAAAATAATAAAATATTGTTCATTTTCATTATTTTCTTAAAATTTTCAAAAAATATATATTTTTTTTCATTTCATTATCATGTATTTATTCAAAAACAAAATTTATGAATATTAAAAAATGATGCATAGCTTAGTTGATTGATGATATCAAAAAATTTTGAAATATAAAATTTTACATTGAAATTTATTTTATAGATATTATTAATTTTTATATGCACTTATTTTTATAATAAATTTATTCACCCTTAACCCCTACCCCATGATCTATCATATCTTTCAAACATGTTTTGAAATTATTCACGTAGCAAAATTCATGAGAAAATATGACTATTTCAAATATCACATGAATATTATTTATTATTATTTTTCCTACTTGCTAAAGTAATGATTCATTGCCATAAACAGTGGCATGAGTGCTCCGCCTGGATCCCTCTCTTAACGCTCGATCTGTGTGCTACCACACTTACATTGCTTCCCAACATAATTGCATACAAGACTTAGATTATTCTAAATTTTTATTTGGGATAACTTTTTTAATATTTTTTTAAAACAATTTTATAATACGAGAATTTCTAGCTCGAAATTATTCTATATGATCACCGAACGGCATCCAAAGACTATTGAGAATGCACGTCATTTTTTTTTATTTTGTACCGCTCGGTACCGGATGACTTGGCGCATTCTATTTCGCCTTATAACGTTTAGTGACCGCACAAAAATTTCTCCACAGACGAAGCCTAAAAAAGGCAACTGGTCTACTTCACCATGAAAGCAACTCATCATTGGTCTATTGATTAGGAACTTTAACAATCAACCAAAAAATCTCTTGATTTCGAATCTCATATATATGTTCGTGTTTAAATTTATCTTAATTGGCGTAGATATCTTCCTAAAAACACTTCACGGTAAAAGTGAATGAAATTAAATTTCATAATTGAGTATCCCTACTTATTTCATATTAAGCAGATGAAAACAATCCCCGGCTTAAAACTGAGAAGTTTCACTAGTGGGAGCTTGAAAATTAGCCCTTTTTTACTTTTAACACATAATAATATAAAAATTAAAAGAAAATCAAACTAACATATAACTTTACTTATAACAATAATTAGAAATATATAACTAATAAGACTGGATAACATTAAAATCCACTGCACTCCAAAAATATAATGAAATGAATTTCTCACATGAATTCATGCAAAAACAAGCAAACATTATTGGAACTCACTTCTGCTCTAAAACTTTTAATAACTTCCAAACACTTGCATCAAAACAAACAAAAGGTCAGCGAAAAAGATGGCCACAACACAGAAAATTATTTTGTGCGGAGATCGGACGCATAACGTCGTTCGGAGACCAATCAAAATGTGTCACATTAGCAGCACCAAGCCGCAATACCAAGCACAGAGGTGACATTGCGCATTCTTGTTGATCTCCTAAAAGCATTCGGCGTCCGCACAAAACAATTAATTCACAACACAATCTTTTTATGTCCACCATCGCTGCTTTTCTTTCTTTAAGTTCTTATATTAGGGTTTAATTCAGAACAGAGGATGATAATGAGCATTAACATATAAAAGGGAAAACAAATGCATGGAATAGCTTATTTAACGTTGTCATTTTAGGCTTCGTTTGAGACTGCTTTCTTTGTGCTTCTTAAAGCAGCTTCCGAGTACAAAAAATTTAATTTTTATACTAAAAAATTACTTTAAGAAACAATAAAAAAACTGTCCCAAACAAAACTTTAATAATTCGAATTTCTAGTTTACTTGCATAGAGCGTGTTTCATACAATGTTACTTTCTATAGAATCAGAAAGTAATTTTTGTTAAAAGCTGGCTGAACAAACGCCGGCATTGGGTTTAAGACTTCAAAAACAAAAATGTACATCATAATCGCTGATTGTTCCAAGACAAAGGAACGCGTATTTATTGTGCGTGTCTCTTTCTTGAGAGGGTCTTAACCATGCCCTTGAAGATTTTCAAGAACCAGTAGACATTCATCACTGCAATCACGGGAGGAACTGACAGAATGCTGTAGAATCCTAAAGGAAATATTGTCCTCACCTAAACAAAAGAAAATCCAAAGTGAAGGATATTGTAAGAACGTTGTCTACTTGCAATAGCATTCTAATACATAGACATATAAAGGTTTCGTTTGGGACAACTTTTCTATTGTTTCTTAAAGTAATTTTAAATACAAAACTAAGAATACCATAATTTTCTCGATACACGGACATATAAAGGTTTCGTTTGGGACGACTTTCTTATTATTTCTTAAAGAAATTTTTAATACAAAAATAAGAACAGCATAAGTTTGCTCGACATTCCGCACAAATACAGAAGAGAGACTTTTAAAACAAAAGGCCCTTCTGGCCCATGAGTTTCATTTACCTTGAAAGCATGGATTAAGCTGATTGTATCTTGATAAGACTGAAAAGATTTTGTTCAACGAAACTCCTATACCATGTCAAAATATTCAAAAGAAGCACAGCGTGCCTCATTATATAAGTTATAAGTTTTTAGTACATTCATGGGTTTATATTCTACTCAAATCCAAATGTAGGGGACAATGGTGATCCCGAGACAGATCATCAAGTGGACGACTAATCCTACCATCTAAACCAAAAAGGTTTGATCATGGAAACATCTGAGAAAACATATTCATTAAAGTTCTAATAATTCAATTCTCTCGATGGAAATGGCAACCGTGATGGTTCTTATATCACTCTTTTTTTCCAGGCATTGAGAATGAAACGGATATCAATAGTAATTCACTGGCATAATTGGTTTGTCGATTGACCAACATTTGAGGAAGTTCAAGACTCTTAAAAAGTAACATTAGATTATACTTTAGATTTCATCATAATAAAGATGAATTTGAATTTAAGTTGTTTGGATAAATTTGCTTTTGAATTTAAATTCAGATTAGAATAAATTGTCATTTTGTTTGAAGTTATCTAGTTTGCTATTGCAGAAAGGATTCTTTTTTATGGAGATTATTTAGGAGAAGATAAGATTTTATCATTTGTAATTGTCTATTTAAAGGCTAAGTATCCATCAAATGAAATCAATTAAAAATCTAGAAATCTTCCAACTCTTTCTCTCTTGCTTCATTTCTCTTCAAGCAATAGATCCATTCCTGCAGCAAAAACCAAAGATCTCCGCACCTGCACCATAGCAGGAAGCCGAACCATGCAATCCCCTGCCGCAGCACCCTTTTCCTCCATTTTCTCTGTGCTGGCGTTACCCAGTTGCAGCTACCTCACAGTTTTGCTTATCGTTGCTTGGCATCGACCTCCTGAAGATAGTGGACTGCTTATAGCTGCATTCTGTTCTTATGATGCTGGTGTCTTTTCAAAAGCTTCAAAGTGCAGTCCACAGTGTTGCTTGGCCCGAACATTATGAAAATAATTCTCCGTTCTGCTGCTTACAGAGATGGGGCGTAGTGGAGTACGAACAACTGCTGTGCTGTGCAGTGGCAGAAAACAGCAGCTTTGTTGCTGTCAAGTTCAAAAATGATGAACCCGTAGGCTGTGTTGTGCGGTGCGGTTGCCTCTTTACAAGCTCTTCAATTTGGTTATAATTGTTCACTTATTATCAGAATGTACAACAACAGAAACCTCCTTCCAATTGGCTTTTGTCTAAATACATATCACCTTGGAAGCCACCTTCTTCTAAAGCTTCTTCCTTTTGGAAGTCTCTCTATAATCATGCTATAAGTGCTAGAGATATGTTCAGCTTTAATGTTTTTCATAATTTCTCTATATCTCTTTATTGGGGTCATTGGAATGGGGGCAAAAGATTGGAGTTGCCGGTGTTTCAACCTTTATTGGGTATTTTTCCTCTTAATTCAACTTTGGGTGTCTTGCTTAATGAGGACGGGTGGGAGATTCCTGTTGATCACTCCAATTTTATGCTTGAAACTATGTTACAGTTACCTGTGGATAACTCTATTTGCCTTGTCTAGAAGGAAAATAATGTTCTGGGGCTTCATAAGTATCTTAATTACTTCTATAAGCATTTACCCGTGGTTAATTGGCATCAGTTTGTTTGGCACAAAAAACATGCTTTATGTTTCTCTATTTTCTGTTGGATGGCACTTACTAATGGACTAAAAACTGTCGAAAATCTCAGGCTAAGAGGAATTTTTGTTAACCCCCTTTGTGTTCTGTGCAATTCCCGCTCTGAATCTACTTCCCACTTATTTTTTAAGTGTAATTTCACTTATAATATCATTATTAAATTGATGCCTCTCCTTAAGGATCACCTGCTTAGGCCAAACCTCTTCCAGGTTTTTGATTGCATGTCTGGGACCAATGCTAAGATACGTTCATTCTATTATCTTATGGCTTATTGCTCTGTTTACATGATCTGGAAAGAAAGAAATGAGAGGAAATTTGGGAATTCCCAAGCATCCATTATTACGGTTTGCCATTTGATTCGAAGAGCAATGTTCATTAAAATCTCCAAATGAAAAAATTCTGAATTTATGTTTCAGTTGATGTAATACTATATATTCTAGCTTCTATTTTGTGCTGAAGCTAGATACTTTGGCGGAGTAAGTCAGTTTTGTTGCCTTTTCATATCCTTCTGGCCCAAGAATTTGGTATTGGTGGCTATGCAAGTGCACTTTTGTTTCCTTTTTCTTATCATTCTGGCTCGAGATATTGGTATTGGTGGGCAATGATGTGTGAATTGCCTCCCATCCCCTTGGACGGCAGAGAATTTGGTCCCTTCCTCATTGCAGCTGTTTCTCCTTTGCAACCGGGGGATTGTTCGTTTTGCAGCAATTCTTTTTTAACTGAGCCCTCCTGCTCTTCGGGTAGAATTGTTCTGGTTTCCCTTTTGCTCTTTAGTTTTGTATGTGTAGCTGTTTACACATAGCCTCCTTTGGCACTTTTTTGGTGGCTTTTTTTATTGTTAGGTTTATTTATGTTCTTTTTACACCTGTAACTTAATAGAAATGGGCCTCGCCCTCAATTTTTCCCAAAAAAAAAAAGAAAAATAATAGATATAATTTAATGTTACTTTAAAATGTACTTGGCATAAAGGCCAGTCCTCATAAAGGTAAAGAAAAAAAATCTTAACTTCAATATTTTACTAGTAATAATTTCAACTAAGACATATGGAAAGGTATTTAACCAAGTTATCTCCTTTTTCGCTCTTTCCCAATCCTTGAGGACCAAAGATCCCGACTCAAATAGAAAATATAATTGCTTATATCTCCATTCCGACCTCAAATGTATTAGCTTCAATAAGTTTTATGCAAAATAAATTGTGAACAACTCAGATGCATCACATAGATTCAAGACTAGATTCATAATAGACTTAATTCCGAACAAAATCCAGATCGAAGTACTTATAACTTTGTATTTATTTTTTTGGAATTAATCTTTTCTTTTATTTAAATTAGGAAGGAAGTATCATTTTGGTAATGATGTTTTAAATTTGAATTAGATGATATAATTTAAATTTTGTAAATTCTATTTCTATGAATAGAATTATGATGGTTATTATTTGCATCAATTATGAATTCAAATCAAGCTATTCCTCGAAATCCACTTTTTTTTCTCCTCTACTCGTTGGCTCCATCTCTAATTTTTTCCCAGTAATGCAAGATTACACTCTCCTTCGATGTGCATGAATCATGGAAGCTTCACCTTCCATCATCAAAAACGACATCCAATAAATGAGAGAGCACATTCGCCAAGATGATTTTTTTTGGTCTCACCTTCTTTGTCCTATGAGAATACCAATAATCAATGATTTCTTCTCAGTTCCTAAAGAAACTGCGGGACTCCTCTCTTTAATTATCTATTTATCTTGCATCCATACAACAACAAAAACAACAAGCCTTTATCCCACTACGTGGGGTCGGCTACATTAATCTTTTTTCTTCATTGTGTTCTATTAAAAGTCAAATTCTCATTTAAATCTAATAAAGAAAGGTCATTTCTAGTATTTTATAGCCAAGCCTTTTTAGGCCTACCTCTACCTTTCTTAATATAGGCCAAATCTAATGCATCTACTCTCCTAACAAGGTCATTGGAAGGCCGTTGTTTTACAAGACCAAACCATGTAAGGCGACTCTCTCTAATCATATCTATCATTGGAGCTACTCCAATCTTTTCACAGATATGCTCGTTTCGTATCCTGTCTTTAAGAATAAATCCACTCATCAACTTGACCATCCTCATCTCAGATTCTCAGCAACACTTAACTTAATATTATGCTTCATTTTTAATGGCCAACATTCTGCACCATAAAGCATAGCAAGTCTCACCACTATCTTATAAAATTTCCCCTTAAGTTTGAGTAGTACTTTTATATCACACAACAAACTCAAAGCATTTCTCCACTTCAACCATCCAACTTGAATTCTACTAATAATATTCCCATCTATTTCACCATCACTCTTAACAATAGATGCAAGATATCTAAAATGAGTACATTTATTAATGACTTGATCTCTTAAAGACACAAAACCCCCCACTAAATCTAATACTACTAAAATTACACTCCATGTATTTGGTTTTAAATCTACTTAAATGAAAACATTTAGACTCTAAGGTTGACCTCCATAATTCGAGTTTACCTTCAACTCTCTCTCTAGTCTTATCAACAAGAAGAATATCATCAGCAAAAAAGTATACATGAGGGTACATCCTCTTGCAAATGTCTGGTAAGAACATCCATGACTAGAGCAAAGAGATAAGGGCTTAAGGTTGATCCTTGATTTAATTCAACTGAAATAGGAAAATCCTTGGTCAAACCACCTTGTGTTTGCACACAAGTAATAGCTCCAGCAAACATAGCCCGAATGACTTGAATAAAAGCATTATTAACCCATTTCTTTTCTAGAACTCTCTATAGCACTTCTCTTGGAACTTTATCATATGCTTTTTCTAATCAATAAATATCATATGTAGATCCTCCTTATTCTCTCTAAACTTCTCCATCAGCCCTCTCAATTAAAAAGAAAATTTAAAAAAAAAAATGCAAGAGAATAAAGAAGAAAAAATATCAAGGAGACCTACATCTACAAGATCTACACCAACCTACCTCGTTATTTCCATATGTTAAAGTAAGTTCATACCCTCATTAACTCAATCCCCACATATGCAATGGTATACATTCTAGGACTTCTACAATTCAGTAAAACAAAGAAATCATTTGTTAAATAATATTTAAGTAGCACGGTGAGATCTTAGGGCAATTGAACTTAAAACACTATGCTAATAATTTATTTTAAACCTTAAGAAGCAAATGTGAAGAGCATGTCAAGTAATGCAATATATCTTAATCTTTAGTATTAATCAACAGCCTATCCTCATGTCATTCAATATGTTTCATGGAAAATTCATTATTACGAGATTTTTTTAAGAAGAAAATCCAAAAGAATTGGAAAATACCTTATCAAAATGTAGATACATATGGGCAAAAAAGAAGATAAAGAGAAGGATTCTTGCAGCCTGCAAAGTACAACAAAAACTTGGAAATTAATCATCCTTATTTTTATGAATCTGAATAAATTGAAATAGTCGCATGCTTCTGGTTATGGATTTTAAATCAAGTGCATCTTCAAAGTGTTCTTCCAACGTTTTTATTTTCTGTCAAAATCATGTTGATATCAAGAATCAAGACTATGGATATTTTAAAGTTAAAGAATAACCGATTTAAGTGTTAAAACTGTTAGAGTTCGATCTGGGGAATAACTTTATAAAGTTCAAGTTTACAAGCCAACTGACTCGTCCCAGAATCACATAGGGACCACACACAACAATGTGGATTAAAGCCAAACCAAAAAAGTGACATATCAATCCAATTACAACAAATATCTATTACGTTACATGAGGAAATTGACTTCAAACTGCTAGGTTGATAATCAAAAATCTCAACGCACTCAGAGATATTTATGTTATATTTTAAAGAAGATCAACATCAATAGATGTTGAAAGATAAGAAATATGAAAAATTATTTTGAATTTTATTGCTTATTTTATGTACACAGATTGGATGCATTTATTAGCTCCTCCAAAGATATTACATATGAAAAAAAGATAAATACAATTTACACTAAATAAAATAAAAATAAAAAATGAGGGTTGGCAGCTAGGTGAAAAGAGAGGAGCATATGAATTGCAATTCAATGATTAAGAGGGAGAAAATCCAATGGCTAAGCTTCTCATTCAATGTGCTTAATAGAACATACTATGATTAGCTATAATGTGAGACCCGCAGCTCTTATAAGGAGAAAATTTAAGTGGATGTAGGAAGGAGGTGGAGTGGGAACCACGCCAGAGTGGGTACCACGGTGTGAGACCCCGCAATCTTTGACACTGCCCCTCAAATTAGATGGTATGAGCCTATCATTCCAAATTTGCTTACAATATTCTTGAACATGGGATTGAAGAGTTATTCAATGAATATATAGACAAGGTGATTTCTTGTTGATACAAATAGAGTGCAAATCAATTTACTTTCTAGTTTCTCTTTTATTAAATATATATTTACCTTTACATGATTGATACAATCATATTATATTAAGTTATGAGCAATCCTAATAGCAGATTTATCGTCAAAATATATTTTCATTGCCTCTTTCCACTTGATTTTTAGATATTCCTGAATGATTTTGATCCACAAAAGTTCATAGATTCTTTTTTGGGCAATTGCTCTAAATTCATATTCAACACCAGACCTTGAAAAAATTGATTGTTTCTTTCTCCTTCAATTTATGAGATTTTTCTAAAAATGTACAGTATCTTGAAGAGGATCTTCTATCCACTGATGATCCTACATAGCTGCATCAATATAACCTTCAGTTTGTTGATTATCCTACTTTTTGTAGAGAATTCCTTTTCTAGGACTTGATTTAAAATATATGAGAACTCTATAAACCGATTGAATCTACGAATGAATTGACTGATAAGGTTTACTATAAAAACAATGCCTAGATGGATGTGAGCTATGTTGCACCGATATACCTATTTATGAAGGTGTGTTATATCCGATACACGGATACGCCTCCAATACGGCACCGATCCGTGTATCCAATACGCGTGTCCGTTGAAAAACAAAAAAATCCAAAAAAAAAAAACAAGTCGTATTTACTTCCGCGGCTACAAGCGATGTTCTCTCATTTCTGATATTGGATTTGAGTCTCTTAATGATATGGGAACATAAAAAATTGCTAATCTTTCACTTGATGAGCCTGAATTAGAAGTTATGATATTTATTGAAGATGCTATAGAAGTTCAAAGACAAATCACCGAAGAAGCTAATCATATCATTCCTTCTATTGAATAGTTGAAAATTCATATGCTAGACAATTATAATGTCGTGTCCGCGTCGTACCCGTATCCTTTATTTTTAAGAATTGACGTGTCCCGTATCCGTATCGTGTCGTATCCGTGTCGCTGTATCTATATCGGTGCAACATAGGATGTGAGCTATATAAATTGGTTTCAATTAATCTTTAATTTTGTCCCATGTTTACTTTTGCTCCTATGTCCAACTTTAGGCATGATTCAATTAAGATTTCACAAGATTGGCAATAAGCCGTTTTTTGTCACTTTTAATATACCATGATATTTTTTTTGTGAGTTCTTTGCCCTAGTACAAGAAGGCTCGGTGGAAGAATACCGCGAGAGATTTGAGTACCTCGTGAGTCGACTGGATCGGCTATCTGAGACTGTTCTGGAATGGAATTTCATGAAGGGGCTCAAATCAAAGATCTGAGTACCAGTGAGAGTCATGAGGCCTCAAGACTTAGGAGAGGCTATGGAGCTAGCTCAGTTAGTGGAGAATCATAAGCAGTTTATGTAGTTCATACAGAATCACCACTTTCTTAGCACCTAAGTGACCTACACCGAGCAACCTTCGTGAGATCCCGAGGGAGAAGCTTGTAGGACGAGAAAGTGGGGGAAATTTCAAAAAGCTGACTAAGAGGTAGGTATAAGAAAAGAGGGCAAAGGGATTATGCTTTCGATGTGATCAGAAGTATACATCAAGGCACAGGAGCAAAGACTGAACTCTTTAAGTTCTCACCGTTTGTGATGACGAGGAAGCTGAGAAGGGAGGTGGGAGTGAGACCGGGGTAGAGGAGGAGGACAAGCTACATCTAGATGTGCCAGAGGTCTCCTTGAACTCGGTGGCAGGATTCACTCATAGTTAGACCATAAAGGTAAAGGGGGAAATAGTAGACCGAGAGGTGATAGCATTGATCAACAGTGAGGCTGCCCACAATTTCATCTCCAACCAGGTTGTGGACAAATTAGGGGTGACTTTGGTGGATACAGGAAGCTATGGAGTGATGATGGGCATGGGAAGGTGGAGACATGCAACAGAATCTATATGGGAGTAATGTTGATTATACAGGGGATTCAAGTGAGGGAGGATTTTCTCCCATTGGAGTTAGGCAGCATTAATGTCATCCTGGGGATGAAGAGGCTACAGAACTTGGGGAAAACCAAAGTTAATTGGGGGGCACTAATCATGGAGCTGGTGGTGGAGGGGAGAAGAGTTGTGATCAGAAGAGATGTAGGGTTATCCAAAGCCATGGTGTCCCTCAAAACCATGGTGAGGAGCATACAGGAGGTGGGTGAGGTTTCTTGGTGAAGCTATAGAGATTAGAGGGGATCATATTGGAGGAGGGTAGAGACATTCCTCTTTCAGAATATCCACTGATACAACAATTTAGTGAGGTCTTTCAGTCACCTCAAGGATTGCCACCACTAAGGGAGTTGGAGCATGTCATCACCTTGAGAGAGGGAGTGTCACCCATTAGTGTCAGGTCATACCATTACCCTCAATTTCAAAAGAATGAAATTGGGAATTGAGAAATTGATCAGAGAAATGCTGGAGGCAGGGATTATCAGGCCTAATGTGAGTCCTTTTTCTAGTCAAGTCTTACTAGTTTAAAAAAAAAAACATGAGTTGGAGGTTCTGTGTGAACTACAGGGCTTTGAATAAGAAAATTATGTCAAACAAATTTCCTATCCCAGTGATAGATGAGTTATTGGATGAGTTGAATGAGGCAGTTATCTTCACCAAGATAGATTTGAAGTTCACATACCATTAGAATTGCATGAAAAGTGAGGACATGCCGAAGACTGCTTTCAAAATACATGAGGGACATTATGAGCTCTTAGTGATATCTTTTGGCCTCACTAATGCCCAGCTACATTCCAACCCTAATAAATAGGGTGTTCCAATCCTATCTCAAAAGATTTGTGTTGGTTTTCTTTGATGATATCCTGATGTACAGCAGGTCACATGACGAACATTGGGAGCACTTGAGGACCTAGAGGTGTTACAGGAGCAGCAGCTGAGGAAAATTTTGAAGAAATGTTGTTTGACACAGGCTAGTGTGGAATACTTGGGACATGTAGAATCTCAGAAGGGTGTGGTCGCGGATAAGGATAAAATCGAAGTAATGCTAAGATGGCCACTACAAAAGAATCTGAGGGAGCTGAGGGGATTTCTAGGGCTGACAGGATAATACAAGAAGTTCGTGAGGGCTACAACACAATTGCCTGGCCACTAATAGAGCAGTTGAAAAAGGATAACTTCTTGTGGGGGGGAGGCGGACACAATAGCTTTTAAGATGTTGAAGAAGGCCATAACCACCATACTGGTCCTAGCCCCACTAGATTTAAGTCAGGTTTTTGTAGTGGAGGCGGATGCATTAGGGTATGGATTGGGAGTAGTACTCATGCAAAGCCACCAACCCATTGCTTACTTCAACTAGGTCTTGAAAGCAAGAGCTAGACTGAAGTCAGTCTACGAGAGATAGTTGATGGTTATTGCGCTGGACATCCATAAATGACGACCTTACTTGTTGGGTTGATATTTCATTGTCAGGATGAACTAGCGGAGCCTGAAGTATTTGTTGACGCAGAGGATGGTGACAGAGGAGTACCAAAGGTGGCTGTTAAAGTTATTGGGATATGACTTTGAAATTCATTATAGGCCCAGGATAGAGAACAAGGCGGTCGATGCATTGTCCAGATGTATGGGGGAGCTCTAGGAGATGGAAGTATCGATACCATTGATGTTGGATTGGGCGGCCATTAAGGAGGAAAGTGCACGATATGAGGAGCTAGGGAGGATTAGAGCGGATTTACTGAATGATAAGAATAGTCATCATGGCTATTCTCTAGAAGGGGAGAGGTCGTTGTACCAGGGGAGATTTGGGATGCTTAGGATCAGTTCATATTCCACACTTGCTACAATAATTTCATGGGAATGTGATTGAGGGTCACTCAGGGGTACAGGACACCTACAAGAGACTGGCAGTAGAGTTGTATTGGAAAGGGGTGTACAAAGGCGTAGAGAAGTTGGTAGCCAGTTGTGCAGTATGTCAGAGGAATAAGTAGTTGGCCATGGCTCCAGGGGGATTACTTAAACCTCTGGCTCTAATTGATTGGGTGTGGGAGGTCTCTATGGATTTTATAAACAGACTACCCCG